TCCTTTGTCACCCTTTCACTTTTCTTAGCCACCGGAAAAGCTTTTGACTTAACTTGCTTACAAACATCACAGTCTAAATAATTACCACATTCTTTCACTCCCTCTTTACCGGTAAGTGCTAATGTTTTGTTTAGACTGGAAAACTAACTTGCCCCATTCTCCTAAGTAGGAGATGTAAACAGTCATCATGAGGGTTTATATTGCCTTTCACCCTGGTAATAGCTATCTTAGGAGTGTCGTTAAGCACATAACCACCATTGTGCAATTTTGCCTTAGCAATCTTCCTCCCAGCTTTCTTAATTTTACACATTTCAGTTGCAAATGTCACCTCAAAACCTGCCCTGTCCAGGGCTAGAACACTCAACAAGTTACATTCCAGTGAAGGGACACACAGGACATTCTGGAACATGTGCTTGAGTGCTGGAAAAGTTATTTCCCCTGTGCAAGTCACATCTGCACTCCGTCCGTCGGCTAAAGTCACGTGCTGTTGCTGTGCTTGCCGCTTGTTGCTGAGCGCACACTCATCTCTGCAAAATATTTGACTGGCGCCTGAGTCAATTAACCATGACTCTTTACTTTCTGCCTCTTCTGCTACCACCAGAGATGTGTTGTTACTTTTTGACAACATGTCAGAGCGCTCAACCTTTTTCTGCTGCTTTGGACAATTTTTCTTTGTGTGTAGTGGCTCCACAGATGAAACATTTCCTCACTCTCAAAGCCTTGTAATTTTCAGCACCGCATGCCTTGCTTCCGGCTCCAGCTATCTCCGCTGTCCAGGAACTCTGCCAGGTTGGTGTGGAATGTTTAGCCTCATGTTCTAACAACAGGCCAACTACATACTCCAAGCTTGCATAGATTCCAGAGAGGTAATTAACATCTCATAGTCAGCAGACAACGAGCTGTGTATAATATACACACGGTCCTCAACAGAAACTCTTTTGCCTCTCTGTTCTAACTGGTGAAAGCATTCAGTTAATGAGTTTAAATGTTCTCTTATCAGCTCACCTGGTTTTTGCATTTTTCGGTAAAGCCGGCGTGTTAATGCAATCAAAGTTCCTGCCGTGCGTTGGACGTAGATAGTTTTTAGACTGTTCCAAGCCTCTTTTGCAGTTTTGACTTCAGCCACATGTAACAGTTGATCGTCTCCCACAGACAAAATTATGTTTGCTAGTGCCCTTTCAACTTTAGGCAGGTCTCCAACAGGACCAGGATCAGGAGGGTTCTCTACATAGAGCCAAAGACCCTCACATTTTAGATAATGTCTCAAGCAAAGCTCCCACATATCATAGTTGCTAGACGTGAGCTTTTCCACCCACTGGGCTGTCGGTACCTGAGCCATGCTGGACACTTTCTGTAGCTCACCAGATGCTTTCCGGCTCTGTCGACTCCCCCGAGCTGATATCTTTTACTCCTTCTTCTGTATGATTGCATGTGGATAGAAACACATGCAAAGCCCTCTGCAATTTTACTTTCTAATCTTTCTTGTACCTAGCAGTTTAAGAAGTAGGAAATGCTCTGCAAAAGCAGTAACAGTGCTAGCTGAATATGCAGAATTGCAGAACGCCCATACTAGGTTAGACGGAGAGTCTCCCAGGGTCAAACTGAATGTACACATTTCCACAGCTCCCAGTGTTTTTTTCAAATGTAAGTATCAGACACATGGGGGAAACTGAATTCTGACCAGAAGCTTGATGCAAGTGGGATTAAAGTGCCCTCCTCCAATTTCCCAACATGAACCAGCCCCAGGGAGTTGCCTTTTACCCCACTGGGGAAACTTGCAAGTACTGATAGGGTTACAGGTAAGTTTCAGGTTTGGGGGAATCTGTAAGGTTCCTTCTCCTTGACTGATAGGCCTGATCCAAATTGAGCCACCCATGCTCCTACAGCTTTCTCAAAACACTGGAAGCTGCAGAAAAACATAACATCTTGCATCAGGATTCAGTCAAATCCTGACGCTGTAGAAAGTTATATAACCCTTGGGAATTTTTACAGTACTTAAGGCATATACCCTCTTAGCTGTGTTCTCTAAAAACAAATAGCAGTAGGGATCTCTTGTTCTTGATTTAAATGGTTCCTGACCTACCTAACAATCCACCTGACTCTGCCGTGTCTGGTCTCTTGTCTTTTTAATGTATGTTATTAACCCTCTGAGCAGGAACTCTGCTATTGATAAATACAGAAGTGCAAACCTCTAGGGCTGAATAAATGTTCAGCATTAGGCTACAACATCCTTGATCTTTTCTTCTATGTTTCGTAAAGAGAGCTGAAAGACAGCTGCTGAACTAGCTGTTGATGAGATGAGAGGGATCAACAGTGACTTTTCCCTGCCCTCCCCCCAAATTATCTGCAGGACTGAATTTAGCATTTTGGAGAACTTCTACTTTGTGTATTGCCTGGATTCTGTCCTTGTTACATGTACCATCTTCCCCAGTGTCTGCCAAAAGATTTGTATGGATCTTCTACAGTACACTGGTGTTAGTGAAAAGGATAAGGGGAGACCTGTATTCAGATTTTCACTGTGGCATGGAACTCATTGGGTGGTATCTGGCTAATTGTTCTCTCTCTGCCCAGTATTTATTGGAGTGGGGGGATACGTGCACCCTGCCAAAGTCCTTGGGAGGGAAAGGGGCTAGATAAAATAATTCAACCAAAATTTGCAGGAGATTGGATGTCTCTTTCCATTGGTTCCAGGGCATGAATGAAGCATAAGATAGCTGCACTTGCATATCATGATAATACAAGCAGGAACCCGTGAGTAACTCATGGGAGTATTCCCTCTCTGATTCTATGTTTGAGTCTATGTTTCAGAAAAGGACTTGAAGCACAGTGAATGCTTGTCACATATTATATAGCTGCCATGTCTTCTTTTTTTTGTCCCCCCGTAGGGGATTTTTTAATTGCATTTTCTATAAACTACAAAGAAACAAGGAAAGGTGAAAGTAAAGTAAACTACAGGTGAAAGTAAAGAAAAACCACTAAAAACCTAAGAGATGGTGGTCATTCACAATCCTTACAAAATTAGCTTCTAATTAAATGAGATTAGACTTTGCTACGTTAAGTGAGTACAAAATTCTTAATGCTTGTACTAGAATCTCCAACAAATCTGACTATATAAAGAGCTCTATAAAGAAATGATTTAAATTCATTTAAAACAGAATCCAGAGAAAAATCACAACTCATTTTTTATCCTTTTTGTTTCTCAATCGATAGCTTAGTTTAGGGGCAGCCGCCCCAAGTTCAGAAACTGAGTCCTCATCAGAAGGTG